CTTTCATAAAAATAATAACACATTTATGATTTATACTTAACGTAAATATGAAAGAACAATGGGTTCACATGATTTATAAGGATAAAAGTGTTTATATGTTTTAAAAATCGCATAAATCCGTAGAATTTTGGAATTTAGAAGCATTTGCGGTGAACAATGCCAGGGCCGGACTCATCGTATTCCTCCTTGGTGATCCACATGGACTGGAAGGTGGACAGGGAAGCCAGGATGGAACCGCCGATCCACACGGAGTATTTACGCTCAGGAGGAGCAATGATCTTGATCTTGATAGTAGAGGGAGCCAAGTTCGTGATTTCCTTCTGCATGCGGTCAGCAATACCAGGGTACATGGTGGTACCTCCAGACATGACGGTGTTGGCGTACAGGTCCTTCCTGATGTCGACGTCGCACTTCATAATCGAATGATAAACAGTTTCGTGAATACCTGAAGATTCCATGCCGAGGAAAGATGGCTGGAACAAGGCTTCGGGTGCACGGAAACGTTCGTTGCCGATGGTGATGACTTGACCGTCGGGAAGTTCGTAGGACTTTTCAAGCGAGGAAGTTGCTGCTGCCTGTGCCATTTCATTTTCAAAGTCGAGAGCCACATAGCAAAGCTTCTCCTTGATGTCACGGACGATCTCACGTTCAGCTGTGGTGGTGAAGGAGTAGCCACGTTCCGTTAGAATCTTCATTAGGTAGTTGGTCAGGTCACGCCCGGCCAAGTCCAGACGTAGGATAGCATGAGGAAGAGCATAACCTTCGTAGATGGGGACAGTGTGGGTCACACCATCACCAGAATCAAGAACAATACCAGTGGTACGACCAGAGGCGTAGAGGGACAGCACGGCCTGGATGGCCACGTACATGGCGGGGCAGCTGAAGGTCTCGAACATGATCTGGGTCATCTTCTCACGGTTGGCCTTGGGGTTGAGGGGAGCCTCAGTGAGGAGGACGGGAGATTCCTCAGGAGCAACACGGAGTTCATTGTAGAAAGTGTGATGCCAAACCTTTTCCATGTCGTCCCAGTTGGTGATGATACCGTGCTCGATGGGGTACTTGAGAGTGAGGATACCTCTCTTGCTCTGGGCCTCATCGCCGACGTAGGCGTCCTTCTGACCCATGCCGACCATCACACCCTGGTGACGAGGGCGGCCGACGATGGAGGGGAAGACGGCACGAGGGGCGTCGTCTCCGGCGAAGCCAGCCTTGCAGAGGCCGGAGCCATTGTCACATACCAGTGCACTTGCTTCGTCGTCACACATGGCGATCAACTAAAATCTGCAAAAAATGCGAGGAAGTCATTTTCGCTTGTCCATGAATTTATATGAAATACATAATGAATAACACAATTCAAAGAAAATGTATGTTATTAGAATCCTGTACATACACAACAAACGCTCACATTCACTCATTCGCTCACATGCACATATATGGACACACAGACCCACACATACACGTTTCAAAGATTTCTCTTACTCTTCATTTCTCTTCTTTCCTCTTTTCTCTCTATCATAATCTATCACTCAAACATTTCTTAGAGTGATAGATGATGATGTAACATGTATTGCATTCTACAGACACACACATGTATACAGACATACATGTCTACGCACATATACCATTCTTTGAATATAAAGGGAATTGTATATGAATAGCTGGCATATGTATATGTATGAACACATGGGCAAACCGTACACATGTACATGTAAACAAGAATAAACATATGGAAAAGGAAAAGATGAATAATGATAAACTGATAGATAATAAGAAAGAGAGAGAGAAAGAGAGAGAGAGAGAGAGAAAGAGAGAGAGCGAAAGAGAGAGAGAGAGTGAAAGATATAGATAGATAGAGAGAGAGTAAGACGGAGAGAAAGAAAGGCAGAGAGACAGCGAAACACACACACACACACGGAAAGAGAGAGAGAGAGAGAGAGAGAGAGAGAGAGAGAGAGAGAGAGAGAGAGAGAAGGGGGAGGGGGAAAACAAAGGGAGACAGAAAGAAGTGAATAGATAATTGGAACACAGTTTTGCACAACCAAAAATAAGCTTCACTGAACTAAATTCACTTCGCATGATTTCAATAAACATAATGCCTCTGACATGAAATCCTTTCCCACATCAATATCAGAGACTTCGAGGGTCTCTTCATCACAAACCACGTAAAGGTCTAAGAGCTTCACTTACTTCGAGCGAGATCAGAGACACTGGCCTGAGCGACGACTCTGCACTTCCTGTCGGCGACCCTCTACCCGCGACACGGCACTGCAAGGCGGGAGTTTATTTGCGATTCATATATCAATCTGCGGGTCTTGTTGGGGCCATATATGTAGGCACAAGGCATCTTCCCTGCTGCCAAGAGTGGATTGACAATGACGCTTACTGCTGCCAAGATAGACGAATGATTATGGTGATAACGAATATGAAAAAAAAAAAATGGATCACTGAATATTGATCAGAAGGGGACGTCCTTCACCTGTCTTGCTACATGAAACGAATCGCAAAAGGTGAAATAAATCGGTAGATATGAGAAACTTACGAAGAGAAGTATCCAGTTACCATTATAGGTCACTTGGCAGATCAATATGGGTATCATCATGGAGCAAGAGCCAATACTGTCATTAGATTACCTAATGCGGACTGGCATGCCGCTAACAAACCATAGGGCCACGTACCCCATCCCCTCTCCGCACCTATCATCATCAGGGACAGTTCTTGTTGTTTTGCTTTGTCAACTGTATTTACCTGTTTGTCGCTTGTCTCTCTGTTTCTCTCTCTACATGTCGCTTGTCTCTCTGTTTCTCCTGTGTCCTCGTGACGTAACTCCTTTTATGCCATTTACCCTTTGTTGAGCCTATTCTACGTTTATCACCATTAAGAGTAGGTCTACTTAAACAGTTATCGACTGGTAGATAACATGACTAAGATTTACTCTCAATACACATAACTTGAATCAATAATCTTTCCTTTTCAATACCTTCTTATTTTGTCATAGGAATATAGGTTTATGATGGGGACACATACATACAGTGAACAAAATACGCAATTCAGAACAACTACAAAAAATCATACGAAATGCGGTTTATAGATTTTTAATAGCAAATACTTTAAACTATAACTAGTGTATATACAACCTACAACGCAAAAGGACATTGGTCACTTGCAGATAGCAACATAAATCCACGCACTCCACACGCCATAGTCTAAACAAAGCCTGAACAGATAGCCAGGGTGCTAAATAAACTTACTTAACTTAACCGGATTAGGGCCAATTTGTGATACAAGAAAAACTATAAACCTTTTGCTGAACCCCTCAATTTATTACTCCTTCCTTAAAAAGAGCTTAGATAATTAAATAAATTACTATAAGAGGCCTGAAAGCCACAACATAATACACCACAACGTGTTTTCAAGCGATAAATTAATCCATTGGAAACATGAAACAAATCCAAGAAAATATGACCACCAGAATACAAGGTGTTCTAGCAAGTCGGTGAGATATGCATTGTGAAAGTTAATAAAGTTAAACTAAGCAATGGAGAATATAAGCTGAGACTCTTACGATAGATCACAGCGAAAGATGATATGTCAGTCATTCAGATAATAATTTTATATCATATCATGTATCAAAAATAAAATCATTTGCGATCCTTCATTCGGTATATACTATTCTCTTCTGTTATTTATTCATCTATCTATTAATTTATGTTATCTCAAGCGTAACGAAGTTCACCAACGTCTGTACAGCCACAAGGGTAATAGAAAGAAAAAAAACATGCGGTCATCTCAGTTAATGTACTAGAGAATATAATCATATCTATAATTCGGTACTTACACTAAAATATGTTAGTACTCTATAATGAATGATCATACACAATCAGGTGACTGAATTACTCAGCTAATGTTTATTGTGGTCGCGAGCATGAACTTTTGACCTTTGTTCTGCCATGATGTCAGCGAAGCAAATAGTAGGGCAGTTTAAATATTTTGGTGTTGAATATAGGTTGTAAAGATGGAACGCGAAGTACTCAGTGATGTGCTTACTGTATTAATGAAGCGATGTAAATTATATACATATATATATATATATATATGATTTATATATATATATATATATATTCATATATATATATAAGACTAACATATATATGTATATATAAATTATATATATATACATATTTTTGTACAATCGCTAAAGGTCGCTACATATAAATATATATATATATATATATATATATATATATATGTGTGTGTGTGTGTGTGTGTGTGTATGTGTATGTATATATATGTATATATACATATATATGGCGTGTATAAATCATACATATATGTACATATATAAATCATATATATATATATTTGTACAGTCGCTAAAAAATGTCTTTGATTGGAAGTAAATGAAACTGAAACGACCTGTGAGTTGATCTGGAAAGGTTGGTACTTGCTTTCAAAACTTAGAACTGAAGAAGCTTCATAATGTGTTTGAATAGTATTTCGAGTTGATATGGCTAGGGCCTCGTATTATGGCAATATCAGCAATAGAGACCTCACAGCCCATTCGTAGCACATACACACACACATATATATTTATGTATGTATGAACACACACATAAATATATATACATATACATATATATACACATACATATATATACTCGCATATATATACATAATAAGTACAGACACACATATATATATTGAGTATTTGTATATATATATATTCATGTCTATTCATATCTACATCTATATTTACCTCTTACCTTGGCATTGATTTCTATAATGTTTTTCCTTCCCTCGATGTATCCTCTTGCGTAGAAACCACATGCGTACATACGAAACCATATCTTTAATGCAGTGCGATTGTCCAAGCATGGTTTCATTTTATATGTGTATATAGACAATGTTATTAAGGAATTCCTTCAAAGAAAGAAAGAAAAAAAATATTGTGACCTTTTATTGCTTAGAAACTGTATTTGTTCTTTGGATATCATACCATGATATACCATCCAATTCTCATTGTTATGAGTCCCTTCTGTTTAACAGAAAGAACATCTAAAAAGCAATTAGCAGAGAACAAAGTCGCTTAGCACCAATTTAGAAGCACTTGCGGTGGACAATGCCAGGGCCGGACTCGTCATACTCCTCCTTGGTGATCCACATGGCCTGGAAGGTGGAGAGAGAGGCCAGGATGGAACCGCCGATCCACACAGAGTATTTACGCTCAGGAGGAGCAATGATCTTAATCTTGATGGTGGAAGGAGCCAGAGTGGTGATTTCCTTCTGCATGCGGTCAGCAATACCAGGGTACATGGTGGTACCTCCAGACATGACGGTGTTGGCGTACAGGTCCTTCCTGATGTCGACGTCGCACTTCATGATAGATGTGTAGACAGTTTCATGGATGCCAGAAGATTCCATACCAAGGAAGGAAGGCTGGAAAAGAGACTCGGGGGCACGGAAGCGCTCGTTGCCGATGGTGATGACCTGACCATCGGGAAGTTCGTAGGACTTGTCCAGGGAGGTTGATGCAGCTGCCTGAGCCATCTCGTTCTCGAAGTCGAGGGCGACATAGCAAAGCTTCTCCTTTACGTCACGAACGATTTCACGTTCAGCGGTGGTGGTGAAGGAGTAGCCACGCTCAGTCATGATCTTCATCAGGTAGTCAGTCAAGTCACGGCCGGCCAAGTCGAGACGCATGATGGCGTGAGGAAGAGCATAACCTTCGTAGATGGGGACAGTGTGGGACACACCGTCACCGGAGTCGAGGACGATACCAGTGGTACGACCAGAGGCGTAGAGGGACAGCACGGCCTGGATGGCCACGTACATGGCGGGGCAACTGAAGGTCTCGAACATGATCTGGGTCATCTTCTCACGGTTGGCCTTGGGGTTGAGGGGAGCCTCAGTGAGGAGGACGGGAGATTCCTCAGGAGCAACACGGAGTTCGTTGTAGAAAGTGTGATGCCAGATCTTCTCCATGTCGTCCCAGTTGGTGATGATACCGTGCTCGATGGGGTACTTGAGAGTGAGGATACCTCTCTTGCTCTGGGCCTCATCACCGACGTAGGCGTCCTTCTGACCCATGCCGACCATCACACCCTGATGACGGGGGCGGCCGACGATGGAGGGGAAGACGGCACGAGGAGCGTCGTCTCCGGCGAAGCCAGCCTTGCAGAGGCCGGAGCCATTGTCGCACACGAGCGCGCAAGTGTCGTCGTCACACATGTTTGCTTGTTACGTATATCTGGAAAGATATAATTGCGTGATTAAGTCAGTATTCATATAGATAGTCTTGAAGTACTGCAACATCTTTTTCGACCACCAAATGTCTAATGACCATCGTTTTTTGGAATAAGAATATCTGTAAAAATCCTACATGTGGTTTTACGATTATGACTGCAAAATTATGATTTATCTAATAGCAAGAAAACTGCACAGAAGAATAGTAACATCATCAAAAACATTTCACGGTCGCATGCTAATGAGATCATCGTGATCTTATTAGTTCCCCGAGAAGAGTGATTATATAGATTTAAAGTCCTTTTCAATTTTACAATTACCACATCATGCTATATATCAAATAAATGAATAAATTCGTAAGTGAACAAACACATACACACTCATAAGTGCGTTCATGTAATAAAATATTGATTAAGATTCTGCAGACATAGCTAGTAACTCATTATTGTTTACTTGTTTGCACAGTAACAATCGTGAATGAATTTCTAAGCGACCGGTGATTGGCTACTTCGTGTTGTATTTCTTAATCACGTTGTCTTTTATCATATGGTATTGGAATTCACTTTGATCGACATGAAGACAATAAAAGATTTAACGGAATAACACAAACACAAAATACACACACTCACACACACTCTCTCACACACACACAGACACGTATAAATCTATATCTATATGTCTACGTATGTATGTAAGTTTATACATATGCATACATATTCATATATATATATATACATACACATACATCTGTGTGTATTTACATTTATATACATGTGTACATATATATACATATACACACACATCTCTATATACATACATATATATACTTATATGTACATATGTAAATATATATATATATATACAGTATATGAATTCTAAACCAAACCTCATTTCACAAGCATAAAATCCTTTTCCACCGAAACCATATATCGCAGCCTTCAGCATCCGCACGATATCCTCACAGACTTTCCAGTCACTGTTTCCTCACTCAGCACTAAGCTCCACTTACACTAGTCTTCAACAAGAACCCGGCTCTCCTTGGCGTGACCCGCACCTTATGACGGCCTGTAA